AGAACGAACGCGAAGATCCAGCAGCTGTCGTTCCACGGCCGCTCGTCCGGGAGCAGCGGGTACCTGCCGCCGGCCGTGTCCCCCTCCTCCTCCTCCTCCTCCTCCTCCTCCTCCTCCTCCTCCTCCTCCTCACTCCATCCTACTCCTCCTTTCGCCTCCTTCTTCCTCCTCCTCCTCCTCCTCCACCTCCTCCTTCTCCTCCATCTCATCTTTCTCTTCCTCTTCCTCCTCCACCTCATCTCCATCTTCCTCTTCCCCCTCCTCCTCCTCATCCTACTCCTCCTCCTCCTGCTATTCCTCCTCCTCCTGTTCTTCCTCCTCCTCCTGTTCTTCCTCCTCCTCCTCATCCTCCTACCCCTCCTCTTCTTATTATTCTTACCAGTATGATTCGCAATAGTATTATTAGCATTAGTACTGTTATTATTATTATTGATAATAATAATAATAGTAATAATAGTACTAATAGTAATAATAATAATAATAATAATATGAATAAGAGTATGATCAGCATCCGTATCATTATTAGTAGTATGAGAACTCTTCTTACTTGTTCGTATGATTAGTATTATTATCAGTAGTAGTAGTAGTAGTAGTAGTAGTAGTAGTAGTAGTATTCTGAATAGTATGGTTAGTATTGTTCGTACTATTTTTATGCACAGCATGATTATTATTATTCGTATTAGTAGTATTACTAGTATCTTAGTATTCCTATTAGCATTATGATTACTAGATTCATTATTGTTATCACCAATTTCATTAGTCTAGTAGTCGTAGTATTATCACCATCGTCATCATCATCATCATCATCATCATCATCATCATCGTCATCATCATCATCATCATCATCATCATCATCATCATCATCATCATCATCATAATCATCATCATCATCATCATCCGAATCATAATCTGAATCATCATCATCATCCTCATCATCGTCATCAGCATCAGCATCATCAGCAGCATCAGTATCATCAACAACATCAACATCACCATTAGCATCATCATCAGCATCATCACAATCATCAGCAGCATCATCCTCATCATCAGCATCAGCATCATCATCAGCATCATCATCATCCTCATCATCAACATCATCATCCTCCTTCCCTCCTCCTGCTCCTCCTCCTCCTCATCATCATCAGTATCATCAGCATCATCACATCATCATCCGCTCCTCCATCAACAAATCAGCATCATCATCATCATCATCAACAGCAGACAACATCATCAGCATCAGATCACATCAGCATCAGCATCGCATCGGCACGCACCAGCATCATCATCATCAATCACATCATCATCGTCATCATCAACACCACAATCATCATCATCATCATCCTCACCATCATCATCATCATCTCTCATCATCCTCATCATCCTCATCATCCTCATCATCATCATCATCATCATCATCATCATCATCATCATCATCATCATCATCATCATCATCATCATCCCCCTCCTCATCCTCCTCCTCCTCCTCCCCTCCCCCTCCTCCATTAGCATCGGCCAATGGAACCCCTGGAGCGAAGCGAGTCCAGCCGTGGCGATGAGGGCGCCTCGGGAGCCCACATACAAAAATCCGAGAACAATGATTATCGCTCAATTTCCTCCTCCTTATCCTCCTCCTCTGCCTCATCCTCCTCCTCCTCCTCCTCCTCTGCCTCATCCGCCTCCACCTCCTCCTCCTCCTCCGCCTCCACCTTTCCCTCCTCCTCCTCCTCCTCCTCCTCCTCCTCCTCCTCCTCCGTTCCTGGTCCTTGTAAGCAAGAGGCATGCGTGCCAAGGATCATACAATCACGGATGCCTGAAAATGGGAGACGGCGATGGTGCCAAGCTCTGGTAGTTTTGAAGAAGCGCGCGAGTGCTGCGACAGGCCGGCGAGTGACGAGAACGAGGGAAGGCGAATTGCAGCATGGCTGTGTGAATGTGTGAATGTGTGAATGCAACGCACGGTTTGGATCAGAAGGCGATCTCAATATGACGGGAGAGGTCTGCGAGGTTTCAATGGCGTGTTTTCGAATGCCGACCTCGGTGTGGAGCGAAACGCTTGGTCACGGTGCGTTTTTCGGAACCTGTGTTGTTTGGCGTCTCTGGGGCTTCTGTGGGGTCCTTTAGGATCCTTTTGACCCATTATTGGTACCCGTTTGGGTCGTTCGTTCTTTGGGGCTGTCTCTGGGCGTCTGGAAATGTTTCGGCCGTCCTGGGGCTCTTTGGGGGGGCCACTTGGGGCCGTCGTGGCGGGGGGGGCACGGGGG